TATGTTAAGGTTGTTCGAACAATTTATAAAAAATATTAGAAGATAAAGATATTTTTCAAAAAAATTTAAATTAAATTGTTCAACCCTCCAACTAAGCACGCTGTACAGTCAATTACCTCTCCGATAACTTTGCACCGTTCCTTCGCCGCGCGCAATAAGGTCTACAACGGTGCAACCGCGGCTGAACGTGACTGTAACGATGTGCTATGGCGCGCTCAGACCTAGGGTTGTACATATCAATAATAAGTTTTTGTATATTATGTTTTACTTAAAACAAAATGTTTAAACATGTTCAAGAAACTTTGTTATACCTACAGAACTCGTGGTTTAAAGGAACACACTACTTTTCCTAACACCCTGAATAGGTTCAGTTTTTGGAGTTCTGCCTTGGCACGTTCGCTTAGTCCATTGTGCACGGAAGTGCAACATCAGTAATTGCTCGCTCGGAGACGTTCTCCTGATGAATGCGACTGGAGCCACAAAAACTCCACACATTTTTCTGGATTAAAATTGTAGTTGAAGCTTAGAGTATAATATACGTACTGGTTATACTAACACGCTGTACTGTAGTATATTATACTATAGTACAGGGTGTTAGTATAACCAGTACGTATATAATACTAGTACGTTTCTTCAAACCACACGTTCTATAAAATAATAAAGTATGTTAAGAGTGTTCAAACAATTTATGAAAAAATATTAGAAGATATTTTCCAAAAACTTTTAATTAAATTGTTCAACCCTCCAACTAAGCACGCTGTACAGTATCTGTACAGTCAATTACCTCTCCGATAACTTTGCACCATTCCTTCGCCGCGCGCAATAAGGTCTACAACGGTGCAACCGCAGCTGAACGTGACTGTAACGATGTGCTATGTCGCGCTCAGACCTAGGGTTGAACATATCAATAAAAAGTTTTTGTAAATTATGTTTTATTTAAAACATTTTTTAACATGTTCAAATAATTTTGTTATACCTACAAAACTCGTACTACTTTTCCTAACACCCTGTATAGACAAACTATTGAGTGCATTTTACTGGGTATGAACGGGTGGCACTAGTACGAACACAACATCTCTCAATCAAAAGTAAAACGACAGGGACAATACTATAGAAACTCTGTTACCTCTCATGCTTCTCTTTTATACATCTATGGAACTTCTGCCTACGCTTGACACTACGGCAAGGGGCGATACGCGCACTTTATAACTTGCTTATGTATACTCTAAGGATTAAAATTGTAGTTGAAGTTATCTAGCTGCAGCCAGCATTCGTTTGTCGGTTGGTTTATCTTTAGAGACTGTCCGATGTAATTACTTACATAAATAGAGGGAAAGATATCACGATAATACTGTTTTGAGTGTTGTATTCCTGACTCAAACATCTACCTTGTATAGTTAAAGAAAAAAATAGATGCTACCGTTGAATTATAAATATCTTTCTTTTCAAATAATATCTTTTACCAACAAATAATTACAAAAATAATTCGGTTCAAGAATCAAGTAAAATCTAGTAGTTGGTATAAAAAACAAAATGATTGAGTCGCTAGCAGTCATATGGAAATAATATATTATCACTCCAAACGAAGATATACTTTTGGCAAATGTAAAATATGTGGTTCTTTCTATCTTTGACTAAAAACATGATGTACCTACTTATTTATTTTGTTAACATTTCATCATAATTATTTTGAACAAAAAGGATTTTGAAAATTACCTGTATGTCAAAAATACCTGTAAACATAAAATAATCTTGATGTCATACATATACACCACACTCAACTGAATGATCTTTACAGTGTTTTTCTTTAGTATTCAATACATTTTTCTTTTCAAACTCGAAACACTCGAAGCGCATGCACGTACATTATTTCACGTACGGATAGTGTTTCGCAGAATGGATGGCTGAAAAAGGGAATCCCATTTATACAAGTTTACATTTTGAAACCGTTCAACGAAAATGGGGCCGTTTAACTCAACATGTAAGTACCTACAGCAAATACAACTGGTTTAATTTCAAATATTTTTTTAAAATCTTACAGGAAAACCTTCGCAATAGAAATACAAATTACTCAGTGACGTATTTCAAAGTCCTAAAATACAATTGAAGCGCAAAAAATTCACCTTTCCATTATTACACTTTCGACTCCGGTTCAATATAGGAAGCCCAATAAAGAACGTACAGTTTCAATTTTGTACGATTTCATTGGTCTATATTTTCACTCTGTTTGTGGCACTGGATGTAAAGCTGTAGAAAACGCCGGATATTTCTGTACAAAAAAGGGCTCGTATTTTAAACCTCTACCGGTACTCGTAGCTCGAAGCTAACAAGCTGAAACCACAACTTCCTTACACAAAACCTGCAACTAATTATGTTAGTTGCATAATACCGGCAAAAGCATGGCGTTGTACTTAAAGTCGGCAAAAGTGTGGCCACAAGGGGCGCTTCATAGGAAATCCGTAGATAAGACTGAGCTACGTGCTACGAAGTCTCGTAGCAATAGTGGCTACTTTAATGCTACGAAATAGATGGTATCTAGCTACGGTGGTGGTTATAATGATTCAAGTTTGTGTTGCTGAGGGCACGTCTGGTTTCACTCATTAAACTTTATGTTTGTTACACTTGTGATTACAGTCATGTAGGTAGATAACTTCCGGGAAATCAGACTTGAGGAGAAAGTAGGTTACGTGGGAGTCATATTTTGAGTATAGAATATTGTGGGTTGTGAATGTTGCTATTATTTTGCTACGACTTTTAACTTCCTCCACTTGCGAGTTGTCTGTGTAGTAATTATATTTTTATTGTATAGCGATTTTCAGGTAGCTTGTTGTAAGTGTCCTTGAGAATAAGTGTGTGTAGGTATGTCATGTATGTATAGTAACTTGCTATATAATTATTTACTTGAACGATTTACACACTGCCATTTTCACGATTTCACAACTGCCGCCTTTTAGTTAGATATAATCAAATTTTTGCTTTATAGATTCCAAGCTTTTGATAAACGATAATAAAATTACTATCTATAGAGAATATCACTTAGGTATTTCCTTATTAACAAAGATTTTCACTATCAAGAAGCTTCAATTAGAACAATATTTGTTGTTAATTAAAACATGATTGTTACTTGAGAGAGTTTTAATTAATTCTATTAATAATATTAACTACTAATAATTGGATCTTCGCTTGTTTGTTATTAGATCATTTTGAAACATGAAGTGGGATTAATTTGCTAAAGTAATTCCTCAATAAAATTGAACATCCTTGGCTTACACAGAAAACACCAAAGATACACTAATGGAAGGTAGATCAAATTCAAAACACTTACTGTGAATAGGCCTAATTCTATAAACCTCTGCTCATAGCTATCTCTCTTCGTAATAGTAGTGGTGTCAGAGTTTTTCAACAGCTATTAAACTATTTTTAGATTTTAGGTATCAAACAAGCCTAGAACGATACGGCTGACGCTGTGTGTTTTTCAATAATACCTAGATACTTACCTACGCGTATTTCGAAAAAGGAATCAGCATCAGCACGCACCAGAATAAAAATTGTTCCTTGAGTCATGCATCATTTATGCATCGCTTGGCAGTCGTTGATAGACCGATATAAAAGCTGGTAGTGGCTGGCTGGCAAAAACGGGAGACCATGCTTTAATGCCCACTCAAAGAAGAAGTATTTAAAATAAAAAACCTTTAGTATTTGAGCTGCTTCTAAGCTTGTTGAATTCGTAAATTCATTTGATGAATGGAAAACTTATTTTGTAGGTGCTCTTTATTACACATTATCGTTTAGTAAGTAAGTACACATTATAGGTAGGTAAAATTTAGGATATTTTTGTATCTTGACTTAACAATAGTTCAAAATTCTTAAACCTGGTTACTGTGATTGAAGTTTAGTCATCCATAGCCTTTAAAGTGTTGAGCATTTTTGTAATTGATTATTAACCTGTTAGACCAGAAAATAACTTGGTGAAAGTTTTATTTTCCTACGATTTCACGGTGTAACCGCTACGAATATAAACATTTTGTGATAGTAGCTCTGACGGAAAATATGATAAGCGTGTGAGACAAGACCAAGCCTCAGTGCATGCGGCAAGAGAATAAATTATGTTGCCGAAGTTACAGCGAACAAAATTTTATGGTAAAGAGAAGAGGTAAAAGATGATGCTACTTTCTGATGCAGTTTTACAAAACAGAAGCATGGGTAAGGTAGTACATTGAATATACATGTTATTATACCTTTAAACGGGCAAGAATATTATCTCGGATACGTCAGCAAAGTTTTTCATGAAATTTCGTAATACGGGGATTTTGGGGGCGATAAATCTATCTACATAGGTTTCATCTTCCAAGAGTCGTTGCTTCCCTCTTTTTCTGGGAGTTTTTTTAAAACTTAACAATGATATCTGCTGAAAACCCGAAGAATTTCGGTCAACTAGGTACTACAATTTAAACATTGAAATACTCTTCTTGCAAGTAATAAAAGTAAAGTAATTCAACCAAACATTAGTTAATGCATAGTTTGTCCTGTCCTGTAAAATAAACACATACATATTGATAGAGATAAAAAAGCATGAAACGGAACCGCATGTATTTTCTTATCTTACAAAGTGACACCACTTTTTATGCTTATTTTACGAGTATGTTAGCTTACAGCTATCTGTTTACTTTTTACAACCAACTGCGTACCTATATTGTGAATATGCATAAGGTTTACCTACTTACTACAAGTTTTTATGTAGAAAAACAAAGTAACTTGACCGAGTGGTGTTGGTTTAACTGACCTAAAGTCGCCGGTTTAGAATAACATCGCCCCATTTCTTTTGCTGGGTTCCTAATAAAGCGGCTAAGTTAGGTATAGGTATCCAGAGAAAACATCGCAGCTCATGTATTGGAATTTTTAATGCACTCACGATTAACTACTAGGTACTACTAGATGTCACTTAACCGTCGCTTCCAAACGAGCATCTACAGGTTGAGAAATTCACCAGGGTCCGCTAGGCGCCCGTAGCTCAGTTGGCAGACCGGTAGAACGGTGATCCACCGGCTCGGGTTCAAGTCCCTGCGGGCGCTAGTGAATTTTTCAAATTGTATCGCAGCTCCTTAGAAACTAGCACTTTGTTCGCCAATCCGCTTGCCAAGCGTGGTGAATATAGGGAGATGCTACTGACGTCTAAGTCTAGCTGTAGACTGTTGATGTTGGCAATAAAACAAAGTAAAATTTAAAAAATAAATAAATTATCATTTAAAACCATTTACTTTTAATTGAATAAAATTAGAGTGCTTTCGACATCAATGCATATTTTGGAGAAAGTCCACTTTGAAAATCAAATCGACGGAGTCAAATTAAACTGCTTCAAAATGAAATTGTTAAAACGATCACAAAGAATGAGAAAAGGCCATTTTCTGTAGATGATTTTTAATTTTTGTGTCTTTGTTTGAAAATTAAATCTCACCGTATTTAAATTGTTTTGAGGTATGGAAAGTAAATTTATAATATTGTAAGTGTTGTTTTAGTAATCTATTTTAAATTTTACATCTAGACGCAACCAATGATTGAAGTACAGTAACTGTTCTCAACGTACTTATAGCTGCATTGTACAAGAATTCACTTAAAACACGTAATTTTAGAACCGAGGACGCCTTAACGTGACCATTTCAACTTCCCGGGGACTTCGACTCAGCACCGGCCTCTGTACTTAACAGTCTAATTAGCCGTAAATTGCACTCAAAATTGGGCTCTTGCCCGGAAAATGAGTTTTGAATGTCTAATTTCGCGGAATAAAGGAAAATTGTACCGCACTTTATACGGTTGTATCGTAGCCGGGCCCGTCCGGTGCCTGTGCTTCGAAGACAGGCAGTTGTTGTATGTCGATTTTATTTTATCAAGATGAATTTTCACTGAATGAAATATTGACACAAACTGATAAAAAGTTAGATTAACATTGTATTTTCCCTACAGTTTTCATGTTTTCCGAATGCCAAATATCACCGAATCCAGTTGGGGGGGATCCGGGGATCCACCGGACCTGAGTGCAATCCCTAGGTCTCAGTTACTACAGTAAGAAGAATTTTCTTTGTAACCAAGGTCTGTATCATGAAAATACTTTTGTGGTGTGGAAATTATCATTTTTAGTATTATTAAAAAAAGGAGGCTTAAAAATTTAATCGAACGTAACGCTTCTTGCATTTTCTCTCGATTCACCGACTTAATAACTTTTTTTAGTATGAAAGCAGAAACTTTTTATTGAAAATGCACGTAAGTGCAGCTGTGAAACGCGTGTTAGTTCCGAAACAAACACGAAACTTTACTGTGCTGAAACGGTTGTTTCCATGAATTTCATTTCATAACTTTTGTTGAATAAAATTTGTTTCATAAAGAACACGCGTGGTGTTCGCTCTTTTCGAAACTATTGTTAAATTGAGTATTTGTTAAATTGGATTCCTTTGTCGGAATACATTTAATTTACTGTGTTATTTGAACACTACACGGGTACAATGTAATATTTGGGAATTAATTTTCGCAGTCTCTGGAAAATAACAAGACACAATGGTTAATATATTTTATATACTATGTTACTTAGGTACTGTCAAAGATCTTTGATTCTAGTTTTGAAAATGTTTTGAATATTGCGATGAAAATTATAGATTAGTATCATCCTTCATTTGACGTTCCCGTCAAGGTCAAAGGCAGTAATGTTACCTGCACGAAAATTTTATTTAGGGAGGCCTGAAACAAGGAATTTGTTGTGAGTCTAAGAGCTCGAAACAACAGGTCACGCGCGCACGTATGTCGTTACCTCTCGCCTCTTACATTTTATTGCCCCCATTATCTGAGATTAAGTCGGCATGCATCGTCCAGATTTTGTTTCATGTCGTCGACTTGTCTCAATACATTTGAAGAAACTGATCTACGACAAGACGTGTTGGCATCTGATCTTTTATGCCCCCATTAAAAAGTAAAGGAAGGTTTCTTTCGTCGGTCAGTTAATGAGCTAGCCTGGCCTCTCCTAAGCATCTTTTATGTAAAAATGCACTGCAATGTGTAGAGAGGTACATTCACTTTAAAAAATGAATTTTTAGAAAATGGGAACCTATTGTACATAAAATCTGTGAAACAAAACCACTTTTTTGGGCTGCAGCCTCATATGAAACCATTACTATATGAAATTGAAAAAATCTTGAGCTCGAGCTACCCACTACCCTATGAAATACTCAGGTTAAGATTTAAACTACGTGGTTTCAAGACCAAAATTGGATTCATTGTAAAAATACATCACTTCAGATTTTTAAACTTTCGGTCATTCTTCTTTTAGTGTGCTTACTGAGTTAAATAGCTTAATTTTTCTCCTAAAATGTTATCTAAACCAGGCTCGGACGCTAAAAGGTCGGTCAAAATGTCATTCAGTTTTATACGGAGTGGAAAAGCGCGCTTTTAAATACACGCGCAGATCTGGATAAAAGCTTTTAGAGGTTGTTTGTTTGTCAGTGGGTAACTGTACGCAATACGATTGATTGCTGTTGACCGAAGCTATTTTTGTTTTGTTTTACAAGTCCTTTTCTGTTTTAGCTAGAGCAAAGGTTGGCGGCTACAAAAGCTACGACTGATCTTACGTTTTTGGAGCATTCCGCAACCAAATGCCCAGCATAAAGGGCGCTACACACCAGGCCCGTATGCGTGACGTGCACGTTGTCACGGCGTCACTACGCGCGTAGAGATGACGTTGTATTTTATGGGATTGTATGCGAGGCTGCAAACCAAATACGCATGCGTACGCGTAACCACGGTGTAATCACATGCGTAGCGCAGTGTGTATCCTCTCATACAATCCCATACGATACAACGTCATCTCTACGCGCGTGATGACGTGCACGTCACGCATACGCGCCCGGTGTATAGCGCCCTTAAGGCAGTGAGGTACCGTCTACTTACGCTAAAGATACAAATCTATGTAGAACATTATGAGTGGTAGGTATGCATACTGCTTCAAGGTGTCTACGGGGTGTAAAGGATGGTGTAACGAAAACTCTACAGGCGTGCTAAGGCTATGAAACTCAACAAGTTTCCCGATCGAACATTATGGATGTAAACGTATTTTTTTTACTTCCTTTACATACAGATTCAGTCAGCTGATCGTGAATTTTGTATGGGAGACCAAAAATTATTTTTTGTTTTCCATTATATTCTATAGGGAATTAGGGAAAGATGTTTAGTTTCATAAATTGAGCATGCCTTCAAGTTTTCGTTAAACCGTCCCTTGCGCCTTGTATCTTAGCGAAGAATACTAAATGCAGCTACTCGCTCACTAACGAAATCTTTCCTTCTTCCGGAAATATTAAAACTAGTGTGTCTTTCGAAAATTTTTGCTTATTTAGTCAAGCATTTTTTATTTAAGGGTGCTACTACGACGCTACTGACACCCCGTTTAACTTCATAAGCTTGACAACTGGGTCGCTGTAAACACGAAAACCAGCTAACTTAGCCGGCCGCAATCCCGCAATTAAGTAAAGGATTAACCCAACTCTATCCTCAGCTTAGTTCCCAAACTTTGCACGTTTAGACAACATTTAGGTAAGTTGATAACAAGGTGACACTATTTAAAAATAACTGTGCATTTATTAAAGACCATCTTTTAACGCAAATGAGTCTATGCGTAAACAAAAACAGATGCAGGGAGGTAATACATCATTTTTCCTTAACATAACAGGTCTCTATGAATATTGAATACCCAGAAAACAGACGCCGCTGCCCTGCCTACGCAAACTACCTGCATGCAGAAGTTGTACTGATAAAAGAACATTCGCGACAGATTACTCTTTTCTGGAAACGTTTTCAGCTTCACTGCAATGAAATTTCGGCTACTGCGACCAGACACACACTATTTCGCTAGTTCTCTCAGAATTTTTCTCGGAATAACAAAGTATTGTCAGAATATCCCCGCAGGCCAGCGCATTAGATTCAGAATAAGTGAATGCGCAGTTCTATAGAAACAATTCCAAATTTGATATTACATTTTATTTTAGAAACGTTTTTACCTTCACTACAATGAAATTTTGGACAGACCCCGGCCAGACACACTCCATTTCGTTAGGAAACGACCTTTCAGAATAACAAACTATTGTCAGAATCTCCCCGCAGGTCAGCGCAGTAGATTCAGAATACGACGTCCAATAAGTGAATGCGCTGTTCCACGGTTCCAATTCCAAATTAGAATTTCAATGAATTTTTCTGTGCGGGCACACGACGTGATTAATAGTGACATGCTGCATACTCAAAGCAAATAATGACGGACAAGAGGCCTGCGAATTATTAAATTGAAGCCAAAATTGTTCACACCTATTCAATCACAAAATACAATTTATGGTATCTACAGAAGTTTGACTTACTTTCTATAATAGTTTTCCCTGAATGACTTGAATTGTTTCGCCATGACTGTAAGATTTCTGTTCTGTTAGTAAATTATCATTATCAACACATAGCTTTATGCGTTTCACTGTCTGTCTGTCTGTCTGTTGTGGAATTCTCTAACTCCTCATAAACCACGCATCTGATTATTAGGCGGTTTTTTGTAATTGATATAGTGATTCAAGAGTTAGGTTTAGATGTATAACACGTACCAGGAAAATGCCTTTTCCCGTGTGAAAGAAAATGAGTTGCAGCGGGCCGCTAGGTAATCAATAAATCAAAATATTCTTCGAAATTAGCGTACCAATCTCTCACTCAGACTTTCAATATCTTACTTATTACTCTCTACCCTCCAACTAGCCATACGTATCTCATCCTGGCAAATGAAACAAAATTTTGTTTTAAAAATTGCGTTCACCCTTCTACTATTTTACTTACTTTATCGGTGGCGATCTACATCCCCCTTATTTAGATGAGCTAACAGAATTGCCGTTACGTCGAGCTCTATTTTACCTAACTGCATCAAAAAGAGGTTATGTTTTTCGAAAGTAGTAGGTACAAATTTATCCGGGCGGCCGTCCTACCTCAAGCTAGAGCATTGGCAGACCCGGAAATAACCGCTTCTGATCCTAACAAATGAATAACTTCTTATCTGAAACCCTTCTAC